ATGTTGTCTATTTACCTTATATGCATAAGAAGAAAGGGGAAGGTTATTCCATCATTTTCTATACATTGGCCGAGTTTCGGTTCAAATGAGAGTTCGAAAGAGTATCAATAGACTTTCATCATACTTGTCTCCAAATCTCTCTATCTAAATCGAATAGGGCTTTACCTCGAGTCTAGAGTTTTTAAAGGTTTTCTTATGGTGTGTGAAACAATTCAAAGTACATATCAAACCCAATTCAAAATTAAATATGTATATGAATGCAAGAAAAACAAATCACATAAAGTTAAAAAAATAAAAATATTTAATATTTTTTTAGTTGTCTTTAATATAATTTAATCTTTTACCTAAATTATTTTAATACTAATATATTAACACTAATTTATGAGGATTAATTATTTTAATCAACAAAAAAACCCTAAAAATTAACATAATTATTATAAAAATAATTCAAATAAACTTAATTAATCAACTAACAACTAAATGAAATTAGTCATAATTAACCCTATATTTAACCTAATTAACCTAAATTTAAATTCAATTTAACTTAAAAAAATCCACCCTAATTATATTAACCTAATTAATCAACTCATAACGAATTTATATTAAATCTAATTGAAAATAACCTAACTATATTAACACTAATTTATAAGGATTAATTATTTTAATTAACATAAAAATCTAAAAAATTAACATAATTATTATAAACCTAATTTAAATAAACCTAATTAATCAACTACCAACTAATTGAAATTAATCATCATTAACCCTATATTTAACCTAATTAACCCAAAATTAAATTCAATTTAACTTTAAAAAATTCATCCTAATTAAATTAACCTAATTAATCAACTCATAAATAATTTATATTAAACCTAATTAAAAATAACCTAACTATATTGACACTAATTTATGTGGATTAATTATTTTAATTAACATAAAAACCCTAAACATTAACATAATTATTATAAACTTAATTTAAATAAACCTTATTACTCAACTAACATCTAATTAATATTAATCATGATGAATCCTAAATTTATCCTAATTAACCCAATATTAACCCTAATTAACTCAAAATTTAATTCAATTTAACTTAAAAAATTCACACTATTTAAATTAACTTAATTAATAAACTCATAACTAATTTATAATAAACCTAATTGAAAAATAACTTAAGGAGCTAGATTAACACTAATTAATTTCAGATTAATTGTTTTAATTAACATAAAATTAATAAAAATAAAAAAATAACAAACTAACTAATCAATCAAAACAAACCTAACAATTAGTATAAATAGGTAATGTAATTGAAAAAAGAAAACAAGAGAGAGAACTAACAATGGGGGAGGAAAACCTATGGATTTAATGGGAGAAACACGTGGATTTTTAGAGAGAGAAGAGCGTTGTGACGATTGAAAAAGGTCGGAGAGGAAATTACATTGCCTTGCGTGGTCGAATCGGATTTGGCCACTCACCAACAGCAAAAAGAGGAGAAGAGGAGAGGGAAAGAGAGAAAAGAAAAATGGGGAAGAAGAGATGTTGTAGCAAATGTAGGGATTCAAATTTAGCGAAGAACATATTTTCATTACTAATCCCTTGCTATTTGGTGAGGGAAGTAAGTATCCATTGCCGAGGAAGAAATTACGTCGCTTTGGGTGGTCAAATCGGGTCTAGGCACTCACCGGCGCCAAGAAGAGGAGAGGAGGAGAAGAGGAGAGGCAAAGAGAGAAGAAAAAAGGAAAAGAAGAGAGATTTTGACGAATTTAGGGATTCAAATTTAGTAACGAACACATTTTCGTCGCTAATCTCTCACTATTTGGTGAGGGAAGTAAGTATCCATTACTAGTCATTTGTTGTTGTTCTCGGAATTAATGTGAAATAGTAAATTAGAGATGGAAAACAAAATTCCATCGCAATTCCGTGTTTGCTTAGCAACAGATTATATTTTTCATCACTATTCCTCTCATTTTATTTTTGAAATCATATCTTGAATTGGGTTCGAGTACAAAATAGCGACGAAACGCAAATTCCATCTCCAATCCTTTAGTAATTAGCGATGGAACAAAAATTCGTCGCTAATTGCATCGTTTTATTTTTCCAAAGTATTTCAATTCAATCATATTTTGTTTTAGCGATAAAATTTTAATTCACTCGCGAATTTTTTTTTAATCTATTGCTAATTTTGTTTGGTTGCAAAATAGAAATCGAAATTAATTTGACGGTAAAAATTCTTCACTATTTCATCTCAAATCCGTATCAAAGTTGTTTGGCCGCTATTGCATCGCACACCCATCACAAATTAGAGATGGAATATGTTCCGTCGCTATAATTCGTTGTCAAATAATTGATTTCTTGTAGTGTATGTCATTTATTCTAAAAAATAACGAGTCACATAAATAAATCCAGGATGGAAATCATTTAGTGAAATTTACATGGGGTTCCTTAAAAAATTTGGGATCATTTTTTCTATTTTTATATATATTTTTAATGTTAAAAAAATAAAAAAGATACATTTTGATTTTGAAAAATTCTAAGATTTTTCTAAAAAAATGGATTGGATTTTTTTTCAATTTTTGTGAACAATTTCATATCAAAATATCAAGAATAGAATTTTTTTAGAAGAGTGAATGATCGAGAAAAATCATTAGAGGGACTAAATCATAAAAAATTAAAAGTTTAGGAATTCTCAAATCAAATTTGAAGTTCATAAATTTGAAGGCACTGGTAAAATCTTGAATATCATTTGAGCCCTATCCCTAAATGCATACAGGCATGACAACATTGTGTTTGCAAGTAAAAACCATTTTTAACTTCAGGATAAAAATCACATTTTTGTAGGGATAAAAATACAAAGCACTAGCACCCACTATACTTAAAAGCTTCAAACAAAAAGCTAATGTCCTTCAGGGTGATGTCAGAAGCAGGTTTTTTTTTTTGGTTGTTGTTGTTGCTTAATGATGAGTCCACTCTTTGTTGTTGTTAAAAAAGAAAAACCAAAAATTAAAGTTTTCACTTAAAAAAAATCATTTGCAGAAATTTGAAAGGATAACAAAAAATTAAAATAAATAAAATAAAAAATAAAGAGTACCAGGAAAAAAAAGATAAAAAGCTTTATTTCCTAATAACTTAAAAGATTAGAGATAATATTGAAGCTTTTAATAAACTATAGGAGTGCCAATATAAATTGAAAATTGTGAGAATAAAGGTGAAACTTAGTCAAAAATCTATAAAGATAAATGAAGTTGACCAAAACAATTAAGACTAGCTAGGTAGATATCATTACGTACGCCTGGAACATTGGTCAATCCACAGAAGATGACAATGAAGTGGACTCTGCAAATATTTAAACCTACTTTTTTTTTAATTATACTTATTGAACTAAACCAATGCCGCAATGCCGCAACTAATTATGACTAATTATCCACCTTTTGATTGAGTAAATTTTATAAATGTTTCCGTTTTTAATTTATAATTCTATTAATTTTTTTCGTTTAAATTAACATAAATAGTTATGCACATAATTTGATATTATACCAAAAATAAAAGCAGTGATTAAGGAGGAGGGGAGTCACTGGTGAGATAGGAGAGGGAAGGAATAAGATGTTTCAAACAGAGAGAGGTCTGGTCCGCGTGAGTTTCTTCTTCTTCTTTTTTTTTTCTTTTTTTTTTATTTATCACGTATTTTGTATATGTTTTTTTTTCTCACGTGTTTTTTATATGTCTCACATGCCTATAAAAGTCAAGATCATTTTAATATAATATTAAATCAAGTATAAAAGTCAAGATCATTTTCAATATAATATTAAATCATGCACATAATTGATTCAGCTAATTTAGACGGAAAAAAAATTAGAAACTCAATTATTTTATAAAAGAAAAGAAATTCATTAAGAATATAACCACATATTGAAAACTTATCCACATATATGCTACTGCAGATAATTTTTTTATCGTTAAATTATTATGGGAAATATCATTTTCAGAGTAAAAATAATCCTTTCTTGGTGCCACCGAGGGACTTCCATACATACAGACAGCATCATCAAGTATAAATTTCAATAATTTTCATGTCTAATGTATCCATAACAAGGAAATGGATTAAGCTGTTATATATATGAGTAGTGCTACATGACATAGCAATGTCAAAAAAAAAATTATCATAATTTTATAAAGATAAATTTTTTAAAAAAAACAAATAAAAAATATTTTATTTTAATAAATATTATGTTATTTAATATTTTTATTTTTTAAAATGATATCTATCGTCACCATATCTTCCACCATATATATATATATATATATATATATATATATATATATATATAAAAACAACATGATTTTTTGAGAATCCATATATCTATACTGAAGGAACTGAAATGTAAGTAAAGTCATCTATAGCAATAATTGCTCTTCCACTCTCCTCCACTCTCACATCTCAAAGTCATCTCGCCCTTTCTCTCTTTCCCTCAACTCAAAGCTCTCTCTCTCTCTCTCTTTTAAGACTAAATAAAAATTATATATATGTAACATATAAAAGAAATTAAAATAAAAAAAGAGTAGGGATGGGCTGAGAATAAAAGAGAGAAAGGATGCATGAAAGTGAACGGTGCATGATTGACCACTTTGGTTTGGAACCACTTTGAAGAGCTGCCGTATGGATTATCTAATTGCCACGTAGCCCATCTTCTGTAGGCGTTTCACTTTGACGTGTCAACCATCGGCGACCTTTTCTCCTAAATATATACCCCTCTGTTAAACCCTCATGGTGTCCATCCATTCCTCGTTTCATTTTTCAGTTCTTCACTCACTACCCAACGACCAGCACTCTCTCCCTCTCTCTCTCTCTCTCTCTCTCTCTCTCTCTCGGTCGAAAATCAAAATTACAAAAACAAAACCCCCCATTTCCCATCATTCTCTCTCTCTGTCTCTCTTTTTTCCTTTCTTTTTCCTTCTCTATCTTTTATTTTTACCATTACCCTTTTAAAGAGGAAACAAAAACAATGCCCACGTTTAATGGGGTAGAAACTCCCAATGGAGGCTCACCGGACGGCCCAGATCAATCCAAAATTTGTCCTCCTCCTCGTCGAGATTCCCGTGACCTCCCATCTTTAATGTTGCCTTCTTGTTATCCTATTACTCTCAAGGTACTAGTTAGCTTCACTGCAAAAGCAGAAGATTTTTTTTTCGTTTCTTATTCTTGACTATTAGTTCTGACCTTTCTTTTTTCTTTTTTTGATTTGTTCCATGCAGTTTATGGAAGTGGGGTATAGAGTGAAATATGGGAACAAGAACAAAGGCAGCAATATCAAGAGGATTTTAGGCCATGGCCCAACAAGTTCTGATCAAATTCAAGAACGTACAATCTTGAATGAGATAACTGGCTTGGCATCCCCAGGGGAAATCCTGGCCATTCTTGGTCCTTCGGGGAGTGGAAAATCAACGCTTCTCAATGCACTTGCAGGGAGAATCCAAACAAACGGTTTCACAGGAACGATCCTCACAAACAACAAAAAACCAACAAAACAGATAATGAAAAGAACCGGTTTTGTTACTCAAGATGATCTTCTCTATCCCCATCTTACGGTCCGTGAAACCCTAGTCTTTTGTTCTTTACTTCGCTTACCAAAATCACTATCAAAACAAGAAAAGACAACCGTAGCTGAGTCAGTCATATCCGAGTTGGGGCTAACGAAATGTGAAAATACAATAATTGGAAACAGTTTCATACGTGGGGTTTCTGGTGGTGAAAGAAAGAGAGTGAGTATAGCTCATGAGATGTTGATAAACCCTAGTTTGCTCATTCTTGATGAACCCACGTCAGGTTTGGACGCAACTGCGGCTTACAGGCTGGTTTTGACATTAGGATCACTTGCACAAAAGGGAAAGACTATAGTTACATCCATGCATCAACCTTCAAGTCGAGTTTACCAGATGTTTGACTCAGTTCTGGTGTTAAGTGAAGGAAGGTGTTTGTATTTTGGCAAAGGAGGTGAAGCTATGGCTTATTTCGAATCGGTTGGGTACTCACCATCTTTCCCCATGAATCCTGCTGATTTTCTCCTTGATCTCGCTAACGGTACGTATGCCTTATCTTTTGTTTGTAACTTTGTGCGTGCTCTTTTCTCTTTCTTTCTCTGTTTTTTTTTTTTTTCCTCCTTTTAGTTTGTTGAGTTGACTAGACATGACCAGAGTTTAGACAACAAAAATAAAACGTGCTGTGTAGGAGGTAGCTAGATAGATGAATCCTTCAAGCATGTGTCCATGATTGTTTAAGTTGCTGTGATGTGAGTAGATAAGATCAGAAGAGAATTAAGTTTTTGAAGAGTCAAAAGATGAGATGACTGTGGAACTTGATGGTGATGGCAAAAGAGTCAGGTCAGGGGGGTCCATTACGAAGAAGACAACATCATGTGGCATGTAGATGCACTACTTCTCCATACCTACCCTGTTTTTTCTTCACTGTCATTTGTATTGATGATCATAGCTAAGCAAGCCAGAGTCCATCTTGGTCCCTTCTAGTATACCTATAACTTATGGGGCAGACCCACACTAGGGTATGGTGACCCACTGAAGGTGCACTAACTATTTCCTGACACACAACATCAGCTGTAGAAGTGGAGATTGTCACTTGGCATTCATTCTTAATCTTGATTTTGAGTTGCAGTCACTCTATACTGCTTTTACCAGCACCTTTCTAGCACCTAGCTAGTTAATTAATTATGAAAAAGAGGAAACACACCTGACAAAGCGATCAGCTAGCAACCTTACCTCAGTAAGTGGCTGTGATCATCATGGTTTGATGAATAAATAGTTATTTTAACCTTTTGAATGAGATGGAAAGATACTATTAATGGCTTTTTTTTATTCAAGAAACTTTTTAGTGGATTCATAAAATCAAGAGTGATGCGTATGGGGTTTTGATTTTTAAGATCTTGTTGGATGATTCTGCTATGGTGGAAATAATGTTTCTGTTGCTCTCCACGTGTCCTATTTTCTTTTCTTTGACGGTCTTCCTTCCTTCCTTTATTTACCCCTTTTAGCCCAACTCGATTTGACTCCTCATACACTGTTTATTTTTTCCTACCCTCCGGCCCTAATTATTCCACGCGCATTAGCAGCGCGTTTAAATAGATCTCACATGCCTCTTCATTTCAGACAACATTAGATTAGCTAGTAACCGTGTCATGCTTCCTTTTGGGCGTACAGCCACCTTGAGGAAGGCAGCGCGTTTTTTCTACTGTTTTTGTAGCGCGTTTAGGTCTGTTAGGAGTTCTTTTAATTTTCATAAAATGAAAAGATTATCAAATGGGTCCAAAGCGTTTTATTATCAAAATGGTAGCTGGCCGTTGAAGGGTTGGATTTTGGATGTTTGTGTGTTGGAAATGGAGTTCTTGTGTTGAGAATATAAGCTTCCTTAGAAGCATTTTCCCAATGTGGGATCCAGATAAAGGACAAAACGGGACCCGATCGATAGTACTACAGATACATACCCCTTGTTTAATAGCGGAGTAGTAGTAGAAGAAGATAATGGTGTCGAAGGGACCCTACTATATATATCAGATCATTGGCTGTAGTTTTGATGAGATCATGGGCTTTGTGTAGATGGCTGAAGGAGTCACATCATACTTTTTTTGGGGTTATTGAGGACTATTTACAACATTGAATTATATGGATGTACATTTCAGTTGAGTAACTTCTATTGGTAGGGTTTTTGGTATTGACAAGTCATGTGTACCTTTTCAAGGACGAGTTCCTTACATGATCACAAGGACCTTATTCGCATCATGTAGACAAAACTTAGTGTCGTGGATAGTGATCATACATTTTTTGTCGAAGGGAGTATAGTGGATTTTTTTGCCTAACTAGTTGTAAGTTTCTTACGTACGAAATCAAGGACCGATGTCTTCAAAGTATATTTATGTTTAGAGTTGAAACAAGATATGGAAGTAAGCTGATATTTTAGTGTCCTTCGCTTTAATAAAGGAGGGAGCATGGTGATTATCTCTCTGGATCACACTCAAAGTTTGAAGGAAATATATTCATTGCATGTTCAGTCTTTTGGTTTGGCACTACCGCATTCGATCAAAGTGTATATATAATTGACAACGTAGGTTTGGAGTGTACGTTTTTTTTAATAATGTTGCGGCCATTATTTTGTTAAGAATAGATTGGTAGGGACGTGGGGTAATGTCACCAAGACAAAGTCCACATATAAATAATTCATGTAGTCCAAGTTTACAACTTAATGTTAATGACGTGCTCTTTTGACTAGTCGCTTTAATCCTTCGCAATCTTGTTTAAGGCTAGATTTACTAGATAGAAAACATTGGAGAGATTTGTTTACTAGTTTTTTAAGCACCCTCTTTCATCTTTTCTTGGACACTATGATGCTGAGTTGGATTGAGGTGGAGAAAATACTGGTGACGCCATTCATAGCGTGAGAAAGCATCTTTTAGTCTTAAGAGCACTTTGAAAGGTGGCAAATCGCATCATTGTCCCTTGATCACTGGTGTCTTTAGCCTTCCCTTCTCAGTATTTTTTTCTTATTTCTTTTACTTATTAATCAATCTATATCTAGCTACCTAGTAGCAGATGTATAGGGAGAGATTTAAAGATTTTGAGCAACGTAAGATTTTGGGAAAATATATATATTTTAGGATCGTGAGTCAATAACGTCTAACAATATTTAAGTAATATTTGAATTGATGGATTGTCAAGGGAAAGGAGTTGATTATTGTTAAACAAATTATCACAATATATATTCGTACTTAGAAGAAAAACACAACTTGATGATTTAGTTATTGATATTTTTTGGGGTCCTAATTCTGATTCATGCATTTTCTTTCTCCTTGGTCAAAATCTGCTATTCAGAAGATCAACAAACATTATGGGAGAATTTGCCATTACATATGACGCTTTGATGTGTGATTTTACGGTCAGTGGTGACACCCTTGAAGAGATAGTGGCCACTGGCCAACTTCTTGAGATCTTATTTAGCCGTGGTGGTAATAGTGATCTCCCTATTCAGTTCCATCATATATGTTGGCAAACAATAACTAGAATTGTTCCTTCTCCTGTCTTACGGTGACGTGTAAAGATTTTAGTGGCAAATACTGGTGCACATGCTTGTTTTATAAATTGACCCGAATATGTTGAAAATATATTGCATGGGCAGGCCACACCACGTTAGTGCTTAAAATGTTTTCTTTGGTTGCTTTCTTCCCCTTTTTCTTTCACTCTTTTGCAACTCTTTTTTTCTTCTGCAACACTTTTTGCACATCCTTTAGGATATCTTGAAGAGGGACACGTGTTGGGTTGTTTTGCATTTTCCTAGGTGATTCTCTAGAAAAGTCTCATTAATGAACTTTGTTTACTTTGATTGATGTTAAAATGATTGAAATCATATGCCAATAGAATTCTATTGCAGCACAAACACTAGTGGACTCCCACCTTACCACAAAGATTGGTCAGCTTTTGTTAGCTAAGCTGTGCTGCTCATTACGCATTCTATTATGTTTTTAAGTATTAATTTCATTATTAAATTAATCGCCATTATTTTTTAATCTGTGGTGCATTTCCTTTTTTGCTGTTTGCTTGTTTTCTTTTCCTTCTTTATTAGGTAGATTTGCGTTCATAAAAGCCTGGCCCAATGAGGTTCAAGTATCATTTCTTGGCTGAAGTAGTTTAGTGGTGCTCATATTTTAAGATATTTTATGTGGCTAATCCTATTCTATTAGCAGAAATTTCCCATCCCCGCCAACCACTTTTTGCATCCAAGCAAAGCAACTCCACTCTATGAAGTATTGTCTTGGATACTTATCCCTTCTTTTTATGTACTGTTAATGTATTCCAATTATTCTCTGTTTGATTCTGAAATCCTAGCTCAACCCAATAAAGCAATGACCTTTTTTAAACAGATAGGTGCGTTCCTATCTCGGTACATAGTCACTTGTCCCTAATAATAGCTTAGCTTATTGGAGTTATATTCCAAAGGTTCCAGCCAAGATAAGAACAAGTACCTGCTAGCACTATGATTTTTTTTGTCAATCTTGCTAAATCATTATATTCAAATAATGCTATCTGGAAAAAATAAAATCTTAATTTGTTTGTCATCTTGTGGTAAGTGGTCGAGGATCTGGATAGTGATCTTCAGCTCAAAAACTTAATTAAACCTTCACGGAAGTATGACAATAAGTAAGATTATGATCAGTGTTTTACATTAATTCCCAAAAATTGAAACGCTCTTTTCAGTTTACATTCCCATACATAATTGTTTCGGTTCTATGACTTTGAGAATGTATCTCACATCGCATGTAAACAATAGATCAATAATACATATAGTCGAAAATAAATCATCCATCACAAAATTTAAATGTCTTTTGGATGAAACTCAAACTCACTATCGAACTCAATACATTCTAAATGATTTATTGTGGAACTGGCATTTGCACTCAACTAGGAAGTTTGTATATGTTCTTGTTGGAATTACCAACCAGAATTCAGTATTGAGGTTCTGCCTGTAAATCTGTTAGTGTGACTGCAGTATTTGAGGGTCCTGTTTAGAGTCTACAATTAAGATCTCTGTATTGGCTTCTTGGTTGATTACCTTAAAAATTGCAGAACTTTATGCTACATATCTATAAATTGATGGTTTGATTGATTACTGCCAAAATATTTGAAATTTGCTGGTTTGCTGTCATCTTGTTGGATAATATACCTGAATAGATTTTAACCTTTTGATAAACTTACGCAGGTGTGTGCCAACTTGATGGTGTAAGTGAGAGAGATAAGCCGAGCGTAAAGCAATCTCTCGTTGCATCTTATAACAGCTTGTTAGCTCCGACGGTAAGAGCTGCCTGCATGGAGACTAGTACTATTTCAACAAAAGAGAATGGTTTCGTTGGAAGCCATTCTTCCAAAGAACATAGAAACAGCGACAGAATTAGCATCTCGTCTTGGTTCAACCAATTCAGCATTCTTCTTCAAAGAAGTCTCAGAGAACGAAAGCACGAGTCTTTCAACACTTCGAGAGTCTTCCAAGTAATCATGGCTGCAGTATTAGCTGGTCTAATGTGGTGGCACTCGGATGTTAAAGATGTTCAAGACCGTCTGGGTCTCCTGTTCTTCATGTCAATTTTTTGGGGGGTCTTCCCATCTTCTAACTCCGTGTTTGTTTTTCCGCAAGAAAGAGCAATCTTTGTGAAGGAAAGGACTTCCGGGATGTACACTCTTTCTTCATATTTCATGTCGAGAATAGTGGGAGACTTACCAATGGAGCTCATCCTGCCCACAATTTTTCTTTCTGTGACTTATTGGATGGCCGGATTGAAAACCGAAGTGGGTGCTTTCCTTTTGACTCTGCTGGTTCTACTTGGCTACGTGCTCGTCTCTCAGGGTCTTGGCCTTGCTTTAGGTGCAGCT